GCAGAACAGAGGCACATTTCACATGTACTAAAATAATTAAACATGGTATAAGCATAGACCACTTTTTGGTACCATTTGTATATATATAAGAAAAGGAAAAAGTATAACCAAGACATATCAGAGACACTTCTTTGTAGAAGAATCTATTATTTACCCCCATTTCTGATACTCCTGCTTCCTTTTTTTTATCATAATTGTCATGCAGTGCAGTCGCCTGACTCCCACATTCCACAAATATTCTAAATGAATTCAGCAACACAAGGAAAAAAAAAGAATGTGTTTTGTTCGAAACATTGTTTATTAAAAAAAAATAGACCAGCAATAGTCTAAAAAAAAAGTCATTAGTGATTAAAAAATAAAAGAGACTACTAACCTGTAATCAGGAAAAAAAAAAGTTGAAGCAGAATCGCTTTTTATAATAAAGCGTTCGCTTTTTCGCTTTTTTCGCTTTTTTCGCTTCTTCGCTTTTTCGCTTTTTCTCTTTTTCGCTTTTTCTCGCTTTTTTCTCGCTTCGCCTGGGGTCCTCCAGGTGAGATAAGCTCGCCTCGCCTCGCTTCTCGCCTAGGCGAGCTTTTCAAAACACTGAAGAGGCCTCAACATTAAAATCCAGAAATTACCTGACACCAACCAAGCATGAGGCTTTTTATGTTTCCGTGAAACTTGAGAACTTCAGATAAAGCTTTTGCTCCATCAGGTCCAATGGGATTATAACCAAGTTCCAACTGAGAGAGAAAGAGAGAGTTGAGATTTGGATATTTCATTTTCAGATTACATTGAAACAAAAACAGAAATACAGAAATTAATAGTAGGAGACTCACATTGGTAATAACAGAATTATCTTTCAAAACTTGGGCTATGTCACCAACCCCCCTGGCATGGATGTCGTTCCCCCCCTTAAGAATTCTCACCATTTTGTGATGTCATCGAAATGGTTTGTTGGATATAATCTTGAAACTTGAAAAAACACTGCCAAAAAAATGATTATTGCAAAGAAAATTCTTCTCACCAGATCTACGTTCGTCAATGTGCGATTCTGCTTCAAAGCATCTGCTATCTTTGCAGCTCCCTGATAAAATTCAGGAGTTACAAACCATTAACAAGTTATGCATTAAAAATTGGGTCTCAGCCAAACAGATCTTCCAGCAAGGCCAAACCATGTCTATATACATTGGACCATACATCCACAAATCCTCAAGTAGAAATATAATAAAAAGAAAAAAGTAAAAGGAAACAGAACAGAGGAAATAAAATAACCACCATTTCTATCTAAACATCTACGGTGAAATTCATTAAGAATTCAGATCATCATTACTTGCTCAGAAGTACTAACAAAGGAAAATCAGAATATCTTAACTAATCACAGTTTAATATATCATTATAAGATTACGAGTTTTATTTTCCTATTCAGCATCTGATATACAACTCAAAAAGGCAATATCCAAACTATTTGTCTACTACATAAATTCTGTTGGGTACCCAGATGATGTAATATCATCCTTTCCCCTCTCCACATCAACTCAATCAATGATCTTTGTTTCCCACGGTTGATATAATTTCATCCTTTCCTCTCTCCACGTCAACTATGTCAATTTTGTTCATCTCCTTGTCCTATTAAAAACCCTCAAGAGGAGATATGAGCCATGGCTTTTAGGTTGCTTTTGTGGCAAGCAACAAAAGCAATAGACAGTTGGACTGTTAAAATTATGACAGCAATAGAAATAGCTTTAGTTATCATGCAGCCCCTATTTTAAGCAGCAAAAACTTATGAAGCGAATAAAAAATTAAGGACCATTTTCATTACTTCTAAATTATTTCCGACAAATTAGCAAGGCCATACTAACCAAAATACTGTGTCACAATCTATTCAAGAAAACCACTTTATTAAACGTTTTAATTTTGATACATCACTGAGCACAACAAAAACCAGAGGTAAAGCGAATGTAAGCTACAGAATGAGAAAGGCGTATTGTACAATGCTGATAATTATTTCACCTTTTTAATACAAGGCATTATTACTGAGAATATATGTACCTCATCTTGAATGTCATTCATGTAAAGATTTAACCATAATAAGCTTTTGCTTCCCTTGACATAGTCAGCAACATGAAAGGCACCTTTTGAGCTAATAGCGTTGTTTCCAAGGTCTAGAATTGTAAGTTTTCCTACAGAGGGGCTATACATGTCAGGTCAGCTGCAAAACATGTTAAAATAGATAATGAAACACAAGTATTTTAACCAGAATGGCACTTGATACACCAAAAAGTAGAACCTTTACGTGAAGATAATCCAGACATCAAGGCGCGGACTCCTTCATCTCCAATAGAGTTTCCATGCAAATAAAGCTCCTAAACATGTCATTTAGCCATAAATATCATTACCTTTCACTATTTCAGAAGGAAGACCCATATTTATTTATAGGACACTCACAATCATATTATGTCATTTTGCGAATGGATAGCCTAGATACTTGGACTAAGCTTTGGTTATTAAGATTGAGTACTCGGTTCATTCAACGCTATTAGAAGTCCAATAGTATTTATACTTCAGTGGCTCAACAGGATGTTTGTGGTTTCTACTTTCCATCATAATTAAAAGCTCCGCTTTAACTCTTTCACACTAAACCGCAAACAGTTATCACCCAAAAAATTAGAAAGTATGAAACTGCAATGTATAAGGCCAAAAGGGCAACCATGCCAACCAAAACCACATATACTACAGGACCAGAGTGTTTTGTCCCACCATTGGAAAGTGTCAGTTTTGACACGAGTCTAAGTTGTCTAACAAAAAGATGGAACCTTGTCAAAAAATTAATGGGGTTCTAAGCTAATAAATAATACAATTTAAACTACGGAGAAATTCACAAAGTGAAAGATCAGATAAGCCTTTATCAACTCTTCATCACATAGTGCAGCAACAAAGATAGAGCAATTTGCCCATGTATACAGCATGAGAAATGACCTCACAGCTCAGGCTCACAGGATAAGAATAACTTTACCACATGCAGCTTTATTTACCTCAGACAATATGTTTGACATGGGTATTCCTCACTTTTACCTGTTTCTTAACCAAAAAACGACTTCAAATAAAAGTAAAAAAAAAATACTTGGGCAAAGAATCAGGACAGCACTTATTTTTGTGGTCATGGCCTCATGGAACAGGTCATAATTGCAGAATCATTACTTGACCAAAATGATATTTTTTGAAGTGTTTCAAAGACGTGATTGAGCCATCAGATGATCCCAAGTGGTCTATGGGAATTCATCAGACCTACTTGTTCAGACTTGATCAATCTCAACTTCAGCAATTTACATAATTTCTTAATATGATGACATGATGGCTCTTAATATAATGGTCTTTTTCCAATAGAGAAAGAAAAATGATCTAAAACCCCTAGCGCCTCTTCTGAAGCTCCAAGGTCACTCAAAAATTACTTAGATATAAGTGAATACAATGCCAATAAATTCACGAACTACCTCATGCTTTCAGATTGCTGATCTCAAAATATGCAAATGTGTTGGCATCTATTGGGCAACATCCCTTCAACGATTCATTAATATACTAAAGCCCTCAAATAAAAGAAGAGTATCAAATGACGATTCTTGTAGTGACATACATTAACAAAAGACTAGAATTATATCCAAGCCTCTATTTTTGCAAAGTATTTTTTGTTTTTGCTTTCACTTTTTGCCAAAAAAAAAAACATGTTTGGGATGTATTTCTTTTTTTTAAAGCTAAGTTATTTTGAAAATAAGGCCAAAAAAATGCAAACAAAAAAAGATGTTTTCAAAAAAAAATGCAAACAACGCGAGCCTCTATCTAAGGGAATTAATGAGATCCACACTTCGAGCCTTGTTAGCAGCCAAAAATGCTTTGGATTGTGGAAGTCTAAAAACCCAATCTCTCTCTCTCTCTCTGTAACTAAAGAACGAAACCCACTTTATCCATTGCCTCTCAGAAAACAAACCCACTTTCTCCATCGCCTCTCTACCACTGCAATGAAAACCCAAAATTGTCTCTAGTCTTTGTCTGTGCAATGAAGACCGCAACTCTTTGTTGCCTCTGCCTGTGCAACGAAGACCCCAAGGTCTCTCTCTGTCATTCTCTCGCCTATCTTGTCACACTCTCTCTGTTAAATTTGAGTTAAATTTGTTAAAAGTATATATATATATACCTAAGATATGCATAAATTTGGAGTTATTTATGTGTATTTGTAGATCTAAGTTAGATTTATATAGATTTTAGAGTTAGATTTGTATAGATTTTGGAGTTAGATATGTATAGAGTTATGTATATACAAATATGGAGTTAGATGTGTATAGAGTTATTTATATATATTCTCTCGCCTATCTCTCTGTCGTTATTTTTAAGTTAAGTTGTTTTGAAAACAAAGCCAAAAAATGCAAACAACACGCAGCTCTATTTGAGGAAATTAATGAAATCCACACTTTGAGCCTTGTTAACAGTAAAAAACGCTTTGGATCGTGGAAGTATAAAAACCCAATTCATTCTCTCTCTCTCTCTCTCTTTATATATATATATATATATATATCTGGCACAGCTAAGCCTGATGGTTGTAATACACTTATATTCACAATCATCAAACACTTTGTTGGTACTCCTAGTAGCATTACTGCTAGGATACACGACCAGTTGACCAACCTAAAATGTCCCACACTTAGTGACTTTAGGTGGTATAAAGATGTTTTTGTTTCCCGTGTCATGGTTCGACCAGACTGCCAGAAAGCATTCTGGAAAGAGAAATTTGTTAATGG